TGAGGCATAGTAGTTAGTCCTAGCCTTCCTCATCGCCACAAGGTAGGATCTAAGATGTATCCTTACCTGTGCTCGATCGGATTCGGTTCGGCTGGTCCTCCAACTGCTCTCTAGGCGTCTTTTCCGACGTTTCATCTCTCTCAGCCCCTCGGTAAACCAAGGGGATGGTCGAGATCCACGTCGGGTCAGAGGCCGCAGAAAGAAATATATTTATTAATAAAGATAATTGCAGAAAACAAGAATTCTACTAATGCTACCTTTTGATTTAATATTCTGGATCCCATATATAAAGCTGATAATATGTTTCAGAAGAAATAAATAATTATAATGTATAAGATTATGTTCATGTTCCTTAATAAGAAGTTTTAATGATATGTGGCTACAAATTTTAATCTTGCTTCCTAGAAAATTGACAAGTGTTTCAAAATTCATGTTTCAGAAGAGAAATTAATTGAAGGACAAATGATTCAACTTGAAGATGGATCTACTGCTTTTTTCCAACAAGTAACTCTGCAGAAAGGTGAAGTAAAATTGCTGATATACCTCTTGTGGTCTCTTTAAAGCAAAATGAGGAACTTGTGGTCTTCCTAAAGTTGTTAAACTAGTATTGCTGGAAATTGTAATTCAGCATCATCAGGAGTTCCATAAGTGCCTCGCCCCCTGCTTTAATGTCCAGTGTGGTGCCTACTAGCACCTTTCTAAACACCTTGTAGAAGCTGGCAGGGAAGGTTGCAAATAGCAGTTATGTGACTATGGGATGCTGCAACTGTTATAAAGGTGAGCCAGTTGCCAAGTGCCCAGATTGCCCTCACAAGATTGTGGGAATATTGGGAGAGGCAGAACTTTGGGGACCAGCACTGTTGTTCAGTGTTGTTGTAACTTTGAACAATCATTGAATGAGTGGTTTTTAAATAATCTATATAGTATAAGCATTAAAAAGTAATGTGCTTGCAATTGCCAGGTTGGGGATAGGGTATTCTCGAGTGTAAAATTCACCTGAAAAAGTGACTTCTGATTACAAACTGATGTATTTTTTGAGTGCCATCTTTGTACTAAAAAGAACAAACAGTGCCTTGCACTTGCTGGTGCTTTTGTTTCTACATCTAAACAAATTTAGAGTCAAAGAAATGTTGAATAATTTTCACTTAATTCATTTAATTCATAGAATGACTCTATGTTGCACTTTTGCATGAATATTATTATTAAAATATTTTTAATATACCTAGGGCTGAATTGACTAACAGGCTATTCTTCAAAAGAAGTGAACAATGATGGGGATTCTTATTCTTGCTAAGCTTTGCTTGTGTTCTGTTGCATGAAAAAGCTGGGCAAGTTGATTTATTTGAGATCATGTGTGTGCCTATGTATATTCTGATTCATTCTACAGAATCGATTACATTTGAAGATGGTCAGCCTGTTGCACTGGAAGATGGCACCATGGCTTTTATACATCATACTCCTAAAGGTAGCTCTCAGTCTTTGACTCCTGTTTTTAATAAATAATCAATAAAAAGCCTCTAAGCAGTAGGATTATAGGTGTCATTGTGTGTTGCTTTTTTTTTTTAAAGCACACCCCTGGATAAAATATTTATTTGTGTTGATTACTTTTACTGTAGATCTTCCGGGTAGCCTACATCAATAGTAAGATGTTTTATTGCGCTCTCTCCTTCTCTGAGAATTTCTTGATCATTGAAAACCACAATTTGGTGGGTAAACCACGGTTTGAATTAACCAGGAAGTTCAGAGATGGAAGGGAGAGTGCTTGATCTCTTTATTTGTTTCTGTTCTGTGCTTTGGAAGATTGGGAATATGGCTGTGTCATTTTTTCCCCTAATCCATTCTTTAGAGCCATAAATGATAAACTACTCATCTATTAAAAAAACAAATCCACCTTTGATTGTGAATTGCAAGATTTTTGATATGTAATGTTTTCTAAAATGTAGTTAGACTTTACTATTGATGGCCTTAACCCTTAGAGTTTTATTAGCTCTAAATGATCAAAGGATAGATACATAGTGATTAGAGCTGACATGTGGTGCTATAGTGTTTGTGGTCCACTTCAGAGGGTTTTGACCCCAGCACCCTGGAGGCCATCCAGCTGGAAGATGGATCCACAGCTTTCATACACCGTCCTGTTCCCACGACAATGGGTGGCAGCATCCTGGCAGTGCAAGCAGATGAGGGGCTGGAGGAATTGGCAGGGAAGAAAAATGATGCTTTTGATTTAGATACTGATACCACTCTGGAGGATTACACCAGCAAGGTGAGAATATTCTGCTTTTCTATGAAGATCTAAACCATAACATGATTCAGAGAGTTACATTTCTTAGGTGTATATAAGAGTGGTCCATTGCTACAAATAACCGTTGAGCTCCCCTGTGAGCTGTGGGGATCAACCCTGCCATCTGAAGTCAGGAGTTTGATAGTTAATTAGAACAATATACCGTATTTTCCGGCGTATAAGACGACTTTCTAAACCCTGAAAATCTTCTCAAAAGTCGGGGGTCGTCTTATACGCCCAGTCGTCTTATACGCCAGAAAATACGGGTATTCAGGCAGGCTTCCAGAGTTCGGCTGGCAGGATGCAGGTAACCCCTCCCCCCGTCCTGCCGCCTCCCACCGCGCCGCTCCGCGTCCCGC